GACACCCTGACACCCTGACACCCAGACACCCAGACACCCTGACACCCAGACACCCAGACAGCCTGACACCCTGACAGCCTGACAGCCTGACACCCAGACACCCTGACACCCAGACATCCTGACACCCAGACAGCCTGACACACTGACACCCACACACCCTGACACCCTGACACCCTGACACCCAGACACCCAGACACCCTGACACCCAGACACCCAGACACCCAGACACCCAGACACCCTGACACCCAGACACCCTGACACCCAGACACCCTGACACCCACACACCCTGACACCCAGACACCCTGATACCCACACACCCTGACACCCTGACACCCTGACACACTGACACCCACACACCCTGACACCCAGACACCCTGACACCCAGACACCCAGACACCCTGACACCCTGACACACTGACACCCACACACCCTGACACCCAGACACCCTGACACCCTGACACACTGACACACTGACACCCAGACACCCAGACACCCCGACACCCAGACACCCAGACAGCCTGACACCCAGACACCCAGACACCCTGACACCCTGACACCCAGACACCCTGACACCCAGACAGCCTGACACCCTGACAGCCTGACACCCTGACACCCAGACACCCAGACATCCTGACACCCAGACAGCCTGACACACTGACACCCACACACCCTGACACCCTGACACCCAGACACCCTGACACCCTGACACCCAGACACCCTGACACCCAGACACCCTGACACACTGACACACTGACACCCACACACCCTGACACCCAGACACCCAGACACCCTGATACCCACACACCCTGACACCCTGACACCCTGACACACTGACACCCACACACCCTGACACCCAGACAGCCTGACACCCAGACACCCACACACCCAGACACCCTGACACCCAGACACCCTGACACCCTGACACACTGACACACTGACACCCACACACCCTGACACCCTGACACCCAGACACCCTGACACCCAGACACCCCGACACCCAGACACCCCGACACCCAGACACCCCGACACCCTGACACCCTGCCACCCAGACACCCTGACACACTGACACCCACACACCCTGACACCCTGACACCCAGACACCCTAACACCCAGACAGCCTGACACCCAGACACCCTGACACCCAGACACCCAGACACCCTGACACCCAGACACCTAGACACCCTGACACCCAGACACCCAGACACCCTGACACCCTGACACCCAGACAGCCTGACACCCTGACACCCTGACACCCTGACACCCTGACACCCAGACAGCCTGACACCCACACACCCTGACACCCAGACACCCTGACACCCAGACACCCAGACACCCTGACACCCAGACACCCAGACACCCTGACACCCAGACACCCAGACACCCAGACACCCTGACACCCAGACACCCAGACACCCAGACACCCAGACAGCCTGACACCCAGACAGCCTGACACCCAGACACCCAGACACCCTGACACCCAGACACCCTGACACCCAGACACCCAGACACCCTGCCACCCAGACACCCTGACACCCAGACACACTGACACACCTCCACCCAGACACCCAGACACCCTGACACCCAGACACCCTGACACCCAGACACACTGACACACCTCCACCCAGACACCCAGACACCCAGACACCCTGCCACCCAGACACCCTGACACCCTGACACCCAGACACACCTCCACCCAGACACCCAGACACCCAGACACCCAGACCCCCTGACACCCAGACACCCAGACACCCTGACACCCACACACCCTGACACCCAGACAGCCTGACACCCACACACCCAGACACCCTGACACCCTGACACCCAGACACCCTGACACCCTGACACCCTGACACCCACACACCCACACACCCAGACACCCAGACACCCTGACACCCAGACACCCTGCCACCCAGACACCCTGCCACCCAGACACCCCTCCACCCAGACACCCCTCCACCCAGATACCCAGACACCCTGCCACCCAGACACCCTGACACCCTGACACCCAGACACCCAGACACCCAGACAGCCAGACAGCCTGACACCCTGACACCCAGACACCCAGACACCCTGACACCCAGACACCCTGCCACCCAGACACCCTGCCACCCAGACACCCTGCCACCCAGACACCCAGGCACCCAGACACCCTGACACCCAGACACCCAGACACACTGACACACCTCCACCCAGACACCCAGACACCCTGACACCCAGACACCCTGACACCCAGACACCCTGACACCCAGACACACTGACACACTGACACACTGACACACCTCCACCCAGACACCCAGACACCCAGACACCCTGATACCCAGACACCCTGACACCCTGACACCCAGACACACTGACACACCTCCACCCAGACACCCTGCCACCCAGACACCCCTCCACCCAGACACCCCTCCACCCAGATACCCAGACACCCTGCCACCCAGACACCCTGCCACCCAGACACCCTGCCACCCAGACACCCAGACACCCAGACACCCAGACACACTGACACACTGACACACCTCCACCCAGACACCCAGACACCCAGACACCCAGACACCCTGACACCCAGACACACTGACACACTGACACACTGACACACCTCCACCCAGACACCCTGCCACCCAGACACCCAGACACCCTGATACCCAGACACCCTGACACCCAGACACACTGACACACCTCCACCCACACACCCAGACACCCTGCCACCCTGCCACCCTGCCACCCTGACACCCAGACACCCTGACACCCAGACACCCTGACACCCAGACACCCTGACACCCACACACCCTGACACCCAGACACCCAGACACCCAGACAGCCTGACACCCAGACACCCAGACACCCTGACACCCTGACACCCAGACACCCTGACACCCTGACACCCAGACACACTGACACACTGACACACCTCCACCCAGACACCCAGACACCCTGCCACCCAGACACCCTGACACCCAGACACCCACACACCCACACACCCTGACACCCAGACACTCAGACAGCCTGACACCCTGACACCCAGACACCCCTCCACCCAGACACCCTGCCACCCAGACACCCCTCCACCCAGACACCCTGACACCCAGACACCCAGACACCCTGCCACCCAGACACCCTGCCACCCAGACACCCAGACACCCTGACACCCAGACACCCTGACACCCAGACAGCCTGCCACCCAGACACCCTGCCACCCTGACACCCTGACACCCAGACACCCTGCCACCCAGACACCCTTAGCACAGACACCCTGATAACCTGACACCCTGAGCACAGACATCCTGACACCCTGAGCACACACACCCTGACACCCTGAGCACAGACACCCTGATATTCTGACACCCTGACACTCTGAGCAGACACCCAGATACCCTGACACTTTGACACCCTGAGCACAGATTCCCTGACACGCTAACACACTGACACTCTGAGCATAGACACACTGACACCCTGAGCACACACACCCTGACACCCCGATGCCCTGACACCCTGAGCGCAGACACCCTGACACCATGAGCACACACACCCTGACACCCTGAGCGCAGACACCCTGACACCCTGACCCTGATATTCTGACACCCTGACACTTTGAGCACAGATGCCCTGACACGATAACACACTGACACCCTGAGCACAGACATCCTGATACCCTGATATTCTGCCACCCTGACACTCTGAGCACAGAGACCCTGACACCCTGAGCACAGACTTCCTGACACGCTGAGCACAGACACGCTGACACCCTAACCACAGACACACTGATACCCTGAGTACAAACACTCACACCATGAGCGCAGCCACCCTGACAACTGAGCACGACACCCTGACATCCTGACACCCTGACACAGACACCCTGTAACCCTGAGCACACTCCTTGAGCACAGACACCCCGACACCCTGAGCACAGACACCCTGAGCACAAAACCCTGTCACCCTGAGCACAGACACCCTGAGCACAAAACCCTGTCACCCTGAGCACAGACACCCTGAGCACAAAACCCTGTCACCCTGAGCACAGATATCCTGACACCCTGAGCACAGACACCCTGACACCCTGAGCACAGTCACCCTGACCACAGACATCCTGACACCCTGAGCACAGTCACCCTGACCACAGACATCCTGACACCCTGAGCACAGTCACCCTGACCACAGACATCCTGACACCCTGAGCACAGTCACCCTGACCACAGACATCCTGACACCCTGAGCACAGTCACCCTGAGCACAGACATCCTGACACCCTGAGCACAGTCACCCTGACCACAGACATCCTGACACCCTGAGCACAGTCACCCTGAGCACAGTCACCCTGAGCACAGTCACCCTGTCACCCTGAGCACAGATATCCTGACACTCTGAGCACAGACATCCTGATAACCTGAGCACAGACCCTGATACCCAGAGTACAGACATCCTGACACCCTGAGCACAGACCGTGATACCCTGAGCACAGACACCCTGAGCACAGACACACTGACACCCTGAGCACAGAGACACTGTCACACATACACCCCAAGCAAAGACACACATACACCCTGAGCACAGACACCCATCACACTGAGCACAGACCACTGAGCACAGACACCCTGAGCACTGAGCACAGACCACTGAGCACAGACACCCTGAGCACTGAACACAGACCACTGAGCACAGACACCCTGAGCACAACACTGACACAGCCATAGACACAGACCTCCTGAGACACACTGAGCCACAGCCCCATCCCCATACACAGACACACGGCGCTCCACAGACACACTCACCATCATCCAGAATCCCAGCCACAAATTACCCCCTGCCCTCAACCCCTACCTTCATCCCCTCCATCCTCCAGCCTCACCTCCTGGCCCTCAGCCCCTGGCCCTGTTTATTTTGTCATTGAAACAATCCATTGACATGACAAACCAAGTCTTGCTGATGCCGGATTTTGTGTAGAATTGGAGTTTCTCTTTGGGATTGTTTCTAAGAAAGTACTAACATGTTTGTGTTTTTAGTCGTTCAAACTCCTGGGAATCTTGGATGTTCAGAACACTCCCTGTGCTCGAGAGTCTGTGCTGTACGGATCAGCCGGGGCCATTGCAGTTGGACTGAGTCATTTCCTGGTGACAAGTAAGCATTCACCTAAATATTTCAATAATCTTTGCCAAATGACATTGACAATATTCCTAATTATACTCTGTTCCTTAATTCAGAAACAAGTTTAACATGTATTATGTGACCATCCTCCCGGGGGTGACTTGCTTGGTGATGGAATGTCAGAATGAGGCACCCACTGTGCTGATCTCGGTAGTCTGGCTCCTGGTCTGCAATTCTCCATGCCACAGACCAGCCAGCCTGGCTCATTGGCGGGGTTTAAAGGGGCAGATTGCGGCAGCGATTCTCCCCTCTCAGCTCCAAGTGAAAGCCCTAACGGGTAGGGTGGTCCTATTATTATTTAAAACACTTGAAAGTTATAGGTCCCAAAACAAAACCCAGGTTATTACTGCTTGTGACCCCGCACTGACTAGTGTTAGAAATCTTAGATTGGACAACTATAGATTGAACATTGATATAGCACCTTATTACATCGTTGAGACGGTTCAAAGCACTTCACAGAATATATTACAATTCTGTGTAAATCTGTTTTCCAAATATATTGTAAGACTGTGTATTTGGGAGAAAAACGTGACGAGATGTGAAGTTTAGAAATGGTGAAGGTGAGGAATACCGCAAATAGGACTCCTTTAATGACTGGCTAAAGCTTCAAAGATTTCTAGCTTGTATTTATAATTTAAGAGTTTGGGAAAAAAATAAATGTATTTTTGGCTTCCCTTCCCCCACCCCACAGGCAGAGTGAAGCGATCCTTTGACTTTGGCATCGGAGGATTTCTACTTACAACTATGGGGACATGGTAAGTCTGTTTTCTATCAGTTTTGAAGCATTTTAATGCTTTGTTTAAATTTGCCTTCACACTTGCTTTTGTTTGGATTGCTTTCGCCTCTGAACTCCTTAAAGCGCTGACTCAAAGCGATATATGTTTCTGGCTGCTTTCCAGTATTTCATCCGTGTGGACATTCATGTGTGATCCTGGACAACGATGTCCTTCATGGTCCAATAACCATGGAGACATCATTCTCCAGGTTCACATGTGAAGAATGTCCACATGGATGAAGTTACTGGAGACCAGCCAGAAACCATGGAATCATACAAGCTGTTGCGGGATCACAGCTGAACGTAAACTGACTCGAGCTCAATTCCACACATGCATTTTCCAGTAACTGGTCAGTAGTACCTGGGAACAGCAGCACACCTGATTCTCCCTGTCCTAGCCCCGGACTGCTATTAAGCTAGTTGTAATGTACAAACTGCTAAAATGTGCTAGCAGTACAGACTGGGAATTGAATCTATAACCTTATATTGCCTTGTGTGCTACACCAGGCAGTGCTTTTAACCACAAGATTATTGGTGGAATTTTTTTGTGCTTTTTATTACCTTGTCGCCCTTCTTTCATTCCTGTGTGGGGTTGGTTAAATTATTGCTTTCACTGTGGGGACAGAGCCTTGTTCTTCAGGAACACAGTTGCTTGTGTGTCACAGTGAGAGCATCACATCACAGCTGATCCTAAAGGTTTTGTCCTCACTCAATCCTTTCAAGGATTCATTTTAAAAAAAACACTTGATGGTGTAATAGGAGGTAAGAACATAAGGAGATATGAACAGTAGACATTTTAGTCTGTCAAGCCTGTTCTACTATGTTATCAGATCATGGCTAAACTGCAACTTAATAACATTCCTTGCCCTTTTACTAAATCACCCGACAACCCTAAACGCTAAATATTCATCTGCCTCCCTCTTAAATATTCCAATTGAATTGGTGTCTACAGTCAACTCCTGATAACTTCAAGGCAAAAGGACTCAGTGATGAATTATCCAGAATGGCGAGTTACTCTTATGTATAAATAAATCCAGCTGAGATATTAAGAGTAAGATGACTTAAGTGGTAGTGACAAGTTAAGTCAGGGTTGAGTTATCAGGAGCTTACTGTACAAGCTTTTGGGGTAGTGAATTCCACATTTCCACAACCCTTTATGTGAACTATGTTTTCTAATTTGAGTCTTAATTGTTTTTTGCTCTAATTTTAAGATGTCCCCTTGTTCTGGATTTGTTTAACCAGAGGAAAAGTTTCTCTCCATCTACATTGTCAAATCCTTTTATCATTTTAAACAGCTCAATCAGATCACCCTTCAACCTTCTTACTAGGGGTGAAACATTCAGCTCATTATGCTTGTTCTGCTGATAGAGTTATATTCTGAAAGGTTTTAGATCATATACAGTACAATTTACATTTATGCAGCGCCTTTCATATCGGGAGGATATTTCAAATCACTTAAATCATATGGGTTCAAAGGGCCTATTCATCTGAACTTGTAAATGAATTTGGAGGCAGAATAATAAGAAGCAGATGACATATTTTAACTTCTTTTCAGGACATATTGCAGATATCAGAATGCAAAACTAAGAATACAGCAGCGAATGGTTCAGGAAGGCATGAGAAACAAGGTCATGTTTGAAGGGACCAAAATGGATCCAAACAGAAAACTGGAAAGTAGCAGCAGAAACGACCAAGAAGACAACTCATAGAAGAATCTGGTTAACAGCCAGAAAAATGTATGTCCGAGGGCTGAGTTACAAATATTGGTTGAAATACTAAACCAATAGCTGGGAATGTCTAGTTTTCTCTGTGAATGCCCTGTATAAAATAGAAATTGGGAATTGCAGATATATTCTTTAATAGGTTATCTATTATAAATATTAATGGTGTTTTGGTTGAGGAAAGACACTGATTTGTTGTTGCCCAAGAAAAGACAACAAATTACTTATAAAAAATCTAAAATAATTAAGATGAAGTGCTGAGACAACTATTTTGTGCCAGGAGTAAAACGATGCAGCTATTTTCTTTGAGGTCTTTGAGATTAGATAAAGACAGATGGCATCATGGTTTTAAGGCAACAGATGAATAGTAATGCACTGTTGATGTTTTGATCCGTGGAGCTGGTTGGACAAGGATCATACTGTGAGGTTTTAAAGAATACATTGCAGAACATAAGTTATGGAAATTATTTTAAATTATACACTATTATATAAAAGCAAACTCCGTTGAGCTCGATACACAATGACTGGATCTCTCATACTTTGTTTTCTTCTAGGGAATAATTTTGAGTGCAGGGCCTTGGGCCGTCCTCCAGACATGAAAGGCGCTATACAAATGTAACTTGTTATTGTTGTTGTTAAGCCATTTTGTCAGTTTTGCTCCAAGTGTAGGATAAGTAGGGTAAAGCTCAAATGAAATTAGCCCTATGTTAGTTAAACCAAAATTGGAAAAAAAGGAAGGCTCCTATCCACAGTTATACTGTATTGTGTCATGATGTTAATAAAAATATACCTTGAAATTAATGCAATTTAATGTTATAAGTACTTCAGAGTTTGAAGCTTACTATGAATATCTGAACCAATTTTCACTTGCTTCAAAAACATGTGCCTTAAATATACTCGGCCCCAAATCTGTCCATTTGATCCAGGAATCTGAATCTAATAATAATGACAATAATGCTTGCATTTAATATAGCTACTTTCACACCAGGAGGACGTCTCAAAGTGCTTCACAGGATTTACTGTAAAATGTAGTGACTGTGTATTTTGTTGGGGAATCTACAGAATCTACAGAATGAAACAAATGGACTGCTTGACTTCTGTCCTTGTTTGGTGTTCATTGAATGCTGCACCATTGCATTCAATTGAATGCACTGCACCTTTCGTCTCTGCTCACTGTGATCTTGTACATGCCTGTAAACCCTCGGCTGTTAAGTGCCTTGAATTGTCTTTCTGACTTGAAAGTCTCTATACAAATGTGATTTGTTGTTGCACTATTCTACATTAAGTAATTGTGGGAGACTTTGTGGCTAGGGATTGAGTGGTAAAATGAGGTAGCAAGCCACCCTTTCAACTCTGGTAATTCATTCAAATATGATGTAATATCACTTTTCTCTTGTTGATGACGGTAAGAGTCCCACATGAAATGAGTTATAAGATATGCTCAACCCAGTTGCTGGTTGCAAAAGACCAATGGGCAAAAAACAACCATTATGCAGTTGGTTATTCCACTCTACCACCAAATCCATTACTTATATTAGGCTTAAGTAGCTTGCCAAAGGTTAAAGTATCATCAAAACTAAAACTAATGTGGGGAGGATGCTATGTTCATTTCAAACACAACAATGAACCTCTTTATAACTGAGACTGAGTTATTACAATGTGCCATTTTATGTTACTAAAGCAGAGGTTTATTGAAAGTAAATAATAATAATCCTTGCATTTGATATAGCACCTTATCAAGTCTTTGAGATGTCTGAAAGAGCTTCACAGAACATACTGTAAAGTGGATTCACTGTATATTTTGTGGGCGAAACATGGCAGCCAATTGCACACAGCAGTTTCCCACAAACTGCTGTGGATTGAGTGTCCAAATTATTATTTATTTATTTTTTGGAAGGGATTATTAGCCCCAGAAAAACGATCCGCCAGTCGACCAACAACCGGGTTCCTACTTACTCCTAGGTAAACAGGCGTGTGGAGTAAGGAAACATTTCGCCAAATATCTTCACATTGATTGTGGGTTTGTCAAGAGCCCATTAACAACTTTGGGTATGTAATACAACAACAACAAGATTACATTTATATAGTGCCTTTCACGTCGGGAGGACATCCCAATTCGTGTTTGTAAGAATTGCCCAAGTGTTTTGCTTAGCCATTTAGTTGCTTACTGTGAAATTCTATGAAAAAAATCAAAAGTATTCCGATTCAGGTGTACTATTCCTTCCTCACTTCCTCCATCCCATCATCAGTGTCTGAGTTTTCAGACATTGTGCCTCTATGCTCCAGAACTCTTTTCCCCAAATCCCTTTGCCTTTCAAAGTATCTCCCTGCCATTAAAGAGTTAAAATATCTTTTTGTCTGTGCCTTTGATCAGTAATGTTTGTCCACACATATACAGTCACTACACGCTACAGTAAATCCTGTGATGTAATTTGAGATATTTTGACAACGTGATAAGGTGTTATCATATGATGCAAAAATTATTATTTATAAATACCATCAAAACTCTGCCCCTCTTTGCTAGGTGATTTCCCCCGCTCCCCCCACCATCATCTCTGTGAAGCACTTCAGACATTGAACCTACATGAAAATGCTTCAATAAACTTCAATTTAACTTGTCACAACCACTTAAGTCACCCTGCTGTCAATATCCTAGCTGCATTTTTATATGTATTTACATATATGCTTAACTCACCACTCCGGATAACTCGTCACCTTTCCCTTGGAGAGACAAGTTAACAGGAAGTTACTGTATATAAGTGCAGACTGTTGTATTTCGAGAACACAGTACTGCATTTATGTCTAAAGTTACTAAAATCAAAACTGAAGGAGTTTGCTATATTTATTTAACGATGAGTTCCCATTAGAGTTGCACCACATAATTAATGTGAAACATGATGATGGTTTTTATTTCAACATTGTCCATGTTAAAAGTCTTTTTTGGAAATGGCACCTCTTAGGGAAGCAGAGAATTTTATCCAGCAATTGTGTGCAATGCTTAGATTTTGTCCATGTCAAAAGTGAAAATGTCTGTTCACATAATTGATAACGTGCCCTAAACAAGTTTCAATTTCAAACCACTGAAATTCTCATGAAAGATCCATGAAGTTCATCATATTGCATTGATACAAAGTGGATTGATAAACTGCATCAGAATTGTTTTAAAGTTCAATTAATTTTATTAATAATAATAGAAATAATAATACTAATCAATTTTAATATCAAGGAATCATTCAAGCTGCCAGGATCTGCTGTGAAAGGTATAGAAACTGGCCCAATCTGGACTGGCTGATTTGCTGACAAGAGTTTGCAAACAACTGACCACTGTCTTTGCATATGTTTCAAAACAAATTTGATTCAATGATCTTTTTCGGGCTGTGAAAATGCACAAACGTTTATTTCTGACACAGTTTCAACTTCAAAAACCGTAAAATAGTCCAACAGGTGAGCTGCAGCTGTCTTTTCCTCCTGCATTGCGGGTTGCTGCACTGCTTGGGTTCACAATAAGATGGATTGTGAGACAGGTGCAATTCCCAGCTGCCATTTTTCTTCTACAGATTTCCGACCCAGCCAGGATCTCCAAGCAGCCATAGAGATCTGAAACATCACAAATGCCTGAGTTTTATAGACAATTGACAATCGTGAGATTTTAGTTTGAATAAAAGCAAATATGTTAACCCAGTTCATAATGCTTTTGTACATAATGGTCCCTACAAACACCAGGCTCTGGGCTGCATCATGTACCCCCCCTCACCCGCCCCACCATTGGCGGGAAGCCCTTTTGCCACTCTGAACCCCACACTCTGGAACTACATCCCACAGTCCCTCCGCCTCACCCCCTATCTTGCCTCCTTCAAGACTTGTCACAAGACCCTCTTCGAGCGTACCTTTGGTCACCCTCCTTCCTCCCCTGCTCTCCACCCTCCCAAGATCCCAACCCACAACTCGGGTCCGAAACACTGACTGTCCAGCGCCTTGGGACGTCCACCCAATGTGAAAGGCGCTTTACAAATGTAATTTTCTTTGTTTGTTTAACAAGTCGTTGTGGTCCATAAAAGGCTTGGAAATTTACAAATGAGGAACATAGCCAAAAAAACGATCGACACAACCACTCTTAAGAAGATGGAAAAATCTAAACTGATGCTATTTTCGGATATTGTGACAAATTGCTCTCATAGTAAATTGACATGAAGATGTTTTATCAAAAGTGAGCAATCACTATTAGATTCTCGTGACAAGGGCTGTAGAAAGCTTTGAACCTTTGATGCTTTACGTCAGTTAGAGTGTCTGTAACAGATGCTGGACATTTATTAGTCTCAGGTTGACCCTGTTAATGCACATTGTTGCAAATGTCCCCACACTTAAAGCAATGCAAATATTTTATGTTTATGATTTCCAGAGTCCTTGTCTCTGCAAAATGTTGTTGTATCCTCGGTTAATAATCAAATAATTTAGTCCACAATACACTTTCCAATACACAACAAACTACATGGCATAAAACAATTTGGCTGTAATACTCTGCCAACACTGACAGCCCAGCCTGCGAGGCGTGAGATAAGGTACTGGACGACAGCCACTACTCAAGCATTTGTACTTCTGCATGAATCACCCAGGAGGGGAGAGGCAATTGGAGGAGGGGGGAGGGGGAGGAGAAAAAGCACAAACTATTGAACCAAATCTATATGAGGCACAATATTGCAGTAGTGCTGTGGGATCTTTAATGGGCATGTATTGTATAAGCCCATCACGCTTAAGAGTATCCAAATCAAACTGAACGTTCCACATATGTGTATCACCCCCACATGGAAATTTTCCTGATTCTAGAATGGAACGTGTGCTTTCTACCTGGTTACTTAATTCTACAGCTTACATAATTCTGGAAAGTCTTAGGTGTACATTGGGAAGAGCCAAAGCTTGGGATTCCCAGAGTATGGAAAGAAAGCACTGCTGCAGTTTAGCTAACTAAAACTGCATAGCTTGCCATTGTGAGCACAGTCTGACAAACAACAACAACAAGATTCCATTTATAGAGCGCCTTTCACGTCGGAAGGACGTCCCAAGGCGCTGGACAGTTGGGTCGGGACCCGAGCATCGGGGGGAAATGGTCAGGGTGAGGGGAGGGAAGGGAGGGAGCGAGGAGGGGGTAGAGAGTCGAGAGGGGAGCTGAAGGCACGGTCAAACTTCCCTACACTTGTCCAATTAGAATTATCCTACCCATTAGCTAGATAGTAAGACAGTGCGAAGAATCCCAGCCCCACTGTCTGCCTCTCCAATTTATGCAATTTAGGCTAACTGGTCTGTCTGCAGAAGTGCCTTGGATTACTACAGACCCATCTAGCTCAGAAACAAACTGGACTACGAGACCACTGCAGAGTTGACTCAATTCCAACATTTAGTTGCCATGTAGCATTCGGTCACAGATTCAACTCAACCCCAAGGAGATTGCGTAATACTGTGACATGCATTCTGGGCCTGCAATTTTGAACCTGAATTGGCTTGTGTTCTTACTGCAATGAGGTCCTGCCCAACAAGTTTGTTGGTTAAATGGGAAACAAATTGAGGATATCAAATCAAAAACTGTAGATGTTTATAGTTAGATGAAAATCTGAGATAAAAGCAGAAAATAATGAGAATTTTGGAAATGCAATCAGTCATCAGCATCTGAATTACAAAGTTAAGTTAATGTATCACGTGTGACTTCATTTCCTTGGGGGCAAACACAAGTGGGTCCCCTTGGTGCTCAGCTGGCTCCAAAGTGACAAACTTGTCAACAGAATGTCGAAATCAAGTCAACCCTCTCT